TTATCTGCCTCTCACCACTAGGGAGTGCTGCAGCACCCCCAGCACCCATATTTCCTGCGGCCATGCTTCTGTTATATGAATATTTTCTTTTCCCTAGAATTTTATATTTGTGAACCTGTTGTAGGAGCTGTTGCTCGTCCACATTTTTCCGTCTATGTAGGTGTTCATGTTCTTAGTTGCTTGGTATGTAAATTCTATCTTCCATGCCACTTTAGCTTTCAGGCCATTCCAACGTATTTTGGCCGCACGGGTCTTGCAGACGCGTCAACACAAATCAAGCTTTAGGCTACTTTCACACTACATGCAAATATGACCTGAATCTGATCAAAAACTGGCAGTCAGAATGACGCTATTCCCATCGTTTCACCCCAAAAAATATCCGAAGTGTGCCTCTTCTATATTTGGTACTAAATTTCATTACATGTTAAAGGAAAAAAACAATGTAAGGGGTTGCAACAATTTCCTCCACAGCTGTAAGTATATTTACATGGAAATGTAAACAGTTCAAGGAGGTGAATGCTTTTATAAGCCACTGTATGTCTTTAAGTATAGCCATCATCTTGTTTGCTAACATCACCAACAAAACAAATATCTGTTTCACACTTAGGGGAATAGTTACTGTAATACAGTAGCCAACAAATTACATGTTCTCTGACTTAATTTAATCAATCCTGAGTACTGCCTCTTTTTTCTTTTACGCCCACATTCTCCTCTATGCAGATATCCAGTACATAAACTATAATGTATTTAATTAGGGTTTAGCAGGAGCTAAATAAAGAGTAATGCTTCCAGCACGGTAATGAATAAAGGAAGACACCCATTAACATTATGAGTGGATCAGGACTCTTTTTATTAAAAGTGCAAAAACGAGCCCCTATCTAAATGGAAGTTAAACTAAGTCTTTTGTTTTTGTATGGAGAAGAATACTAATTTGTAAATGATAAGATCATGCTATGTAAACAAACTTGGCCCCTTTCTGTCCATTAGTGATATCTCAATCGCTTCCGGCCAACACCTTGTCCTTAATCTCTGTAGTTGCATTTTAGCATGGCTGAATGGGGCACAAACCTAGAGGACAGCACATGTTTTAATATCTCTGCTGTACACAGTCATAACACTTTTTGGTTGCCTCAGGTTTAGATTTTGATGATTGTCTTAAAGAACACTCGACTTGGCACAGAACAGCATCATAAACATAATCTGTAGTATCAGTAGAGTTGTATTAACAAATTCAATTTGCATACAAGTTACTTAAAATAAAGATTATTCATTCCAAGTTAAATTATTTTTACTTTATCTATTAATGTATCTTTCTGTTGGTTTTATCCAAAGCATGTTTTGTTAAAAGACGTGTTGAAAAGATACTCATTCAAGCAACAGTGAATAGGGTATATTTTTTGTTTGTGAGAATAATCAACTCAGACTTAACTTTTTATATCTGAACTTTAGACTAAGCTTTATTACCCACTTGACATTTTAGCTTATCATATCTCATTAACAACTCTGATTGCATCCTAGCTCTACAGATTGTAATTTGAGAAAGCATTGAAGCACTATTTGAGTCATTAACTTTTCCCTGCACTAATAATCTTCTACAACAACAACAACCTATGACATGTACAGAAAGCCAATTCTTCAATCAGGTGAAAGGCAGTCTTGTTTGTACAGGTGATTCGCTCTATTTGATGTTTGGCTGTTTAAAAAGGAAAAAAAAATCAGGTACTATAATAAAGGCCACTGACAAGTGAGGGAAAGACATGGATTTTATTCTTTAATTGCAATGTTGACACATCTCTAGGATCTGGTAATGCAAAGATTTGCCATTATATGCCAATTTATACTTACTATCTGTATCATTAGTTTTTTTACCCATTATAATGAAAAAAACTGGTTTAGCACCGATGCTTACAAAAAAAAAAAAACACACACACACACACACACACACACACACAAAAAAAGGTGTTATGGACAAAAGCGGTATGGTTTTCCTAAAGGAAGACAGCATTTCCCACGAGGACCGGTGCAAAGAGTGGTAAAATCCTGGTTGCCTGCAGTTGGATTAAACTAAGTTTCTGTTTCTGGTAGCTGTGTAAAAGATGAATAGCGATTAAGCAATTAATTTAAATTTATTAATCTCACACTGTAGAAATTCAACTCTGCATGTTACCCACCCCCTTGGGGAGCAGTGGGCTGCCAATGTGCGGCACCCAGGGAGCAGTGTGGGGTTTAAGGGTCTTTGCTCAGTGACCCAGAGTGGCAGTCTGTGGGAGTGGGGCTGGAACTAAGAACCTCTGAATTCCAAGCGCAACGCACTAACCCAGGCATTCCCAAACTCGGTCCTCAAGGCCCCCTGTCCTGCAGGTTTTAGAGGTTTCCTTGCTCCTGCACAGCTGATTTTAATTGAAAGCTGATTAACAGGCTTTTGGTCTACTGCAATCATTATAACCAGCTGTGCTGAAGCAGAGAAACCTCTAAAACCTGCAGGACAGGGGGCCTTGAGGACCGAGTTTGGGGATGCCTGCACTAACCACTAGACCGCCCCACACTGGACATCGTCACATGTTTCACCAAAATTCATCTTATTTCGGTGAAACATATGATGATGGTGAAAATAAGAACTGTTTAGCTTTGGGTTTGTATTGTATTCCTGCACCACCGACCCCGCGCCCTCCACTTCCCCCGCCTCACACGACTCATCAGCGACTGATGATGATAAATTAGAGCCCTGAAACAGAAATATATTTGCTAGTTTCACTGTAAACACATGTTTAGATCACAGCTGGAAGGTGCCGCATTGCCTGAACACCAACTCAATTTGCACTGATATACAGTCTTTCAGGGAAACTTAGTCGCATCAACCTCCGTCTTTATAATGAATGGGGAATGAGGGAATTGAAAACTGAGTTACTATTTTAGTTACTTTTTTGGAGAAGTAACTATAACTGGTTACCTTTTTAGTGTAAATTTTCATAAACAACTTAGAAAAAAGTTTTATCTACACAAATAAACACAACACCAATCAAGTTGTAGTAGTACACATGCTGGGGCCCTTAGGTGGCGCTGTGATACTCCACAGACACCGCGCTGACAAAGACACTGAGCATGCCCAGATAGCTCACGAGAAATAAGCAAAGCCAACTAGTGATGCATGCAGGTTACTAAGGTATTGTAGGCTTACAATGTTGTTAAAAAAAATTAAAAATATAAGTGGCCTACATGCAACACGAAACCATTTTTTCCCCCTAATTTTTTTCCCCCAGGGACCCGATTTCAAAAACTTTTATATAAATCTATTATGCCCCTCCAAAAGGCTGGTTTCATAATATTTCAGGGTGGATTGGCTGTACAGTTAATCTACAGTGAAAAGGAGCAGTTTACTGCAGAAGAACTGGCCATCAGTAAACAGTGCAATGGGATAAAAATAAAGTGCCATGAAATTGTGTCCACCCAAGGGAGCAAAATGTGATTTATATTACAAAAATAAAGGCCTAAATGCATCAAGTGCATCCGGGACTAGATGTATTCAGAAATCATTCATTTAGGTTTCTAGACCGACTTCATCTTTATGTGCCTTTATTTTGTAGCTGCAATATATTCTGTTTCTCTTTTCATGTAGAGGCAGCTTCTTGAACTTTTAACTTAAACATGCTATACTGATAAACTTGTGTGTCCTTGCCTCTTACAAAAATACTAAAATAAAATGGATCTAGCATGTGAAACAATATTTTTTAGGTGAAAAAAAGTCTATATTGTTTACATGGAATGTAAAAAAATATTTTGGGAAATAAAAATTTTAAAAAAGAAGGAAAAAAAAAAAAGCTCCAAAACAGGTTTTATCAATAATGGTCCAAAACTGTTGCAGAAGTGACGGAAATAGAAGCACGTTTTCTGAGTAAGGAGGGGCCTTCATTTTAATCCAAACCTCTCTAATACACAAACAACAAGGGTCTAAGAAATCTGTTCTCAATGTTTCTTTGACATGACCCCATTAGATCCCACACGGGTTCCTTGTTGATGCCAATAATTCTAATCTGTTGTGTCAGCATTAATGGGAGATCTAGAATGTACTGGTGGCTCTAAATCTAGTCTAGGCAGTAATGCTTGGGCCAGGATGGGAAACAAATCCATAATAACCTTTCAGCAGAATGTAATTTAAGTGGTCAGAGAGAAAACTTGACTTTGGCACCTCCTTTTGGCTCTTGTTCAGGCTTTAGGAAATTTAGAACTGTGCTTGAATGGTCACTGGTCATTTATGCCCAGAAGGTGCTACCAAATTACCTGCATGAGTTAGTGCCCACTGTTACGAGGGAGCACTCAGTCACGCAAATGTCATGCAGACCTTGCCTCAGAAAGCAGAAGTTGTAATCTGTGCAATGTAAATGTAGACAGCTTTGGTTTGAACAGCCAAAAAAAAATAATACGATTATTACGATAAATCTAAGATTGTAAAGCAGCTGTGAAACATTAGTTGCATCCCAACATTACAGCAATACATGAAAGGATACACCCTTTATTTTATTTAAAAGAGGATGTTTGACTTTATTTTACAAACTTTCTATTAATCCCTGAACCAGACACACAAACAGATCCTTTATTACTTTAGTATAGATAACTTGGTAAACAGATCCAATTTTGCACCTTAGTGTCTACTTTACTACAGACCACATGTGCATTAGTCAGATGAATAAATTACCATAATAAAGCTTGCTGGTGTAATGTAGATTTACACGTTTATGTTTTCATGGCTGACGCACAGTAATTAGCACTGGCATGGGTACAAGTACATGCTACAGCTTGTATGAGTGAATGTTTCTTCCTTGTATAATTTGCTTTTATTTCTTATAAATAATAATCAATATTAAAACCCAGTGTTCTGAATTAGTTGTATTTTACCCAGTGCTCTGTATTTGCTCCAGCAGACTAGATCTATGAGTGCTACATCTTAGTTGGTGTGAGAGTGCTGCCCATGTGCCGTGAAAAAGAAGTAGTGAGAAACCTACCCTCAGGTGCATCTGCATCACATATCTTTGTAGTGCTCAAAGTAGTATTGCCAGGACCTGGATCAGTTGAGGATGTCTGACTCTATAAGAAATAAAAGAAATGTTAGTGATTTCAAAAACATAGCCACTTGTGATGCACCGATCCAATCAGATACAGAAATCTGGGCTGAGAGTATAAAGAGATACTGATCAAATACTGTTGAAGGAACATTATACATTGCCATAGGAAAGAGGGCATCAGGCTTGACTTAAACACTATAAAAATAAACCAGAAATACATTCTCACTAATTTCTCTGTGTGACATAACCAAATTGCTGTGACTATATTGTTCTGAAGGACAATTAAAAAATAAAATGACTGAATAAGAATGCTTAGTCTGTGTTATTCTATGATATTTGATTCAGCTAACTAGTCATATAGCTGATATCCCATGCTGGTCAGTGCATCTCTAGTAGCATCTTCTTGAAGCAGATTAAAACAAACGTCTTCCATACAAAAACAGAGAAAACCTGATTTCATCTATTAAAAAGGAGTATTCCTCTCCACTGTCGCTGCAAGCATGCTTGGTGTGGGGGATTGCTTTCAAGTCAATGAGTTTATGTAATCAACTAGTTTTTCTTGGATAGTAACTGAAATGAATACCGTAACTCTCCTCAACGTGCCATGTTCTGCCACTGTGGCCTGTTAATCTACTTATAAAAATCAGGTGTGTGGCAGCAGAGAAACATCTAATATTTGTACAACAGATGAGCCTGGAGACCAGGTTTGAGAAATACTGTCCAATAGGATAGAACAAATCTAAAGTAATTCATAATAACAAATCTTTCACTTTATTCCCATGATTGTTAATTTGTGGCATACAGCAGAGATTATATTTGGTATGCCTTTTGAGGTTCTGAAAGAAATAAACTACTGTATATCTAACTATATCTAATTTAAAGTGAATATAATCTAATACTACACCAAAATGAAAATGTTCTAGTTCCAACATAACAAAGCAGGGGATTTGCTGGGTTTAAATCCCAGATGCATCAGGAAGTGGATGCGGTGTAAAATCTCTGCCACGTCTGTGAGCAAGTTGTAAAGACTTGCTGTGACGAGCTCTAAATACAGACCTATCATTACATACTAGTACAATGACAGTAACTGCAACACAAGCTTAAGACGGTCATCTTCATTTTGTTCGTCAAAATGCTGTAGAAATACTACACTTGTACTATGTAAAGTGTAAGAGTGCTTTTTAATATGTAGTGTTAGAAGTGCAAATAACTTTTCAGTGCAGCTTTTAACAACATATACTGGGTCATCTGAACAGATGTGGTTTAAATATTAAGCTTTCCAATTTCAAACCTAGAAATGTAAAGCCCAGTTTGCTTTGGTGTGCCAATCAGTATTTTCTTTTTGACGTGAAATTTATTCCTGTTGTAAATCTGTTTACTAAAGATTACCTGCTGCTCCAGTCAGCTGCATACATTTGTCCAAATAGAGTAATTGTAATTTAGGATTACATAAAAAGAAATCATTTATGTAATATCATTTTGCCTTGGGCATTGAGAGTGCTGGCAAAGCAAAAATTAAATGAAAATTAATTTATTGGAATAGGCATGAACATGTAAAAATCTTAAATACATAGGAATTGTTAAATAGTTTTTAGTACATTCTTGTATTTCAGTAAGGGAGACGATGGGTTGGCAAAACAAGGCTAAGATTTACCTAAATTACGCTGCTTTAAGCATGTTTTTAACAAAACGCACATGTAGCTGCATGAAAACCAATTGCAGACACCCACACAAGAAGAGAAGAGTTGGAGCACTCAAATGATATTCTGTCAAACAACAAAATCCAAACAGCAAATACCGCAATTTCTGAGAGGAAATAAAAAGAACAAGAGTCTAAAAGGCTTGTTGCTGGCCCATAGAGACCAAACCGCTGCCTACACGGAGCTGGACCACAGTGGTTTAAACCCACGGATACAGACATTGTTAGAAACTTGCCCTGAAAGGTAGATCTCATCAGGGAGACCAAAAAACAGAAAACGACGTGGGAAATTACTTGAACAGCTTTTTCTCACCTGTACAAGATATTTCTGGCTGCCGTACATGACATATTGTGGGGCCAGACTGTAGATCATGTAGCTGGTGTGAAGAACAATCAACAGCAGAATCATGCAGAGGAAGAGGAGGGCCTGGGGACGTGTTCTCTTTGGTCTTATTTTGTAGAGCTAGGTATAAAAAAACAAAAAAAAAACAGAAATGTTCAGCTCACTGTTTATTCCTGAGGATACCAGAACTTTTAACTTAATACAGATGCCTTGGAAAATAAGTTACTATAACGGATAGGGAAAGGAAAAAAAAAATAGAAAATAAACATTCTTTTTAGCAACAGAAGACTTAAAAAAAAACATTTTACTCTATTAGCAGCAGCGCTCAAAGTCAGAACTGACCACTGATTAAAATGAACTCTTTCCTTTCAAACTAGTTTTTTATAATATATTTTTTGTAATGCAGTTATCATAAAAAAAATGATAAATTTATCATTTATATACAAAATTACAAATAAAAAATACACAGGTAAAATGAAATATATCAGACAGATATTTTTAACCATAAATTCTGCAATATAGCCCAATCAATTATTTCTGTCATTAAAATGCCTCAGGAGGAGGTGCTGCTGTCCCATCATTCCAACTGTCTTGGGACAGTTTGTATCACACTGTCCTTGCAGTTTCTTATTTGCCAAGTCAGCAAACTCATTTTCAATAAAGCTGAAACCCAATCATTTACATACAATGAATAAAGAGAGCATTCATTTCATCACAGGCAAAATAACTTCATTTTATTACTTTCTTCTTATGATATTAATATATATATATATATATATATATATACACTATATTGCCAAAAGTATTTGCTCACCTGCCTTGACTCACATATGAGCTTAAGTGACATCCCGTTCCTAATCCATAGGGTTCAATATGACGTCGGTCCACCCTTTGCAGCTAGAACAGCTTCAACTCTTCTGGGAAGGCTGTCCACAAGGTTTAGGAGTGTGTTTATGGGAATTTTTGACCATTCTTCCAGAAGCGCATTTGTGAGGTCGCACACTGATGTTGGACGAGAAGGCCTGGCTCTCAGTCTCCGCTCTAATTCATCCCAAAGGTGTTCTATCGGGTTGAGGTCAGGACTCTGTGCAGGCCAGTCAAGTTCATCCACACCAGACTCTGTCATCCATGTCTTTATGGACCTTGCTTTGTGCACTGGTGCACAGTCATGTTGGAAGAGGAAGGGGCCAGCTCCAAACTGTTCCCACAAAGTTGGGAGCATGGAATTGTCCAAAATGTCTTGGTATGCTGAAGCATTCAGAGTTCCTTTCACTGGAACTAAGGGGCCAAGCCCAGCTCCTGAAAAACAACCCCACACCATAATCCCCCCTCCACCAAACTTTACACTTGGCACAATGCAGTCAGACAAGTACCGTTCTCCTGGCAACCGCCAAACCCAGACCCGTCCATCAGATTGCCAGATGGAGAAGCGCGATTCGTCACTCCAGAGAACGCGTCTCCACTGCTCTAGAGTCCAGTGGCGGCGTGCTTTACACCACCGCATCCGACGCTTTGCATTGCACTTGGTGATGTATGGCTTGGATGCAGCTGCTCGCCCATGGAAACCCATTCCATGAAGCTCTCTGCGCACTGTTCTTGAGCTACATGAAGTTTGGAGGTCTGTAGTGATTGACTCTGCAGAAAGTTGGCGACCTCTTCGCACTATGCGCGTCAGCATCCGCTGACCCCGCTCCGTCAGTTTACGTGGCCTACCACTTCGTGGCTGAGTTGCTGTCGTTCCCAAACACTTCCATTTTCTTATAATACAGCTGACAGTTGACTGTGGAATATTTAGGAGCGAGGAAATTTCACGACTGGATTTGTTGCACAGGTGGCATCCTATCACAGTTCCACGCTGGAATTCACTGAGCTCCTGAGAGCGACCCATTCTTTCACAAATGTTTGTAAAAACAGTCTGCATGCCTAGGTGCTTGAATTTATACACCTGTGGCCATGGAAGTGATTGGAACACCTGATTCCAATAATTTGGATGGGTGAGCAAATACTTTTGGCAATATAGTGTATATATATATATATATATATATATATATTTTTTTTTTTTTTTTTTTTTTTTCCACTTGACAGGTGTCCCTTGTCTGGTTTAACAAGTGGGATTTCTTGCCTTTTAAATGGGGTTGGGACCATCAGTTGTGTTGTGCAGAAGTCAGGTGGATACACAGCTGATAGTCCTACTGAATACACTGTTAGAATTTCTATCATGGGAAGAAAAAAGCAGCTAAGTATAGAAAAACGAGTGGCCATCATTACTTTAAGAAATGAAGGTCAGCGAGTCCGAAAAATTGGCAAAACTTTGACAGTGTCCCCAAGTGCAGTCGCAAATCCATCAAGCGCTACAAAGAAACTGGCTCATATAAGGACTGCCCCAGGAAAGGAAGACCAAGAGTCACCTCTGCTGCGGAAGATAAGTTAATCTGTAATCGCAGGTTAACAGCAGCTCAGATCAGAGACCAGGTCACTGCCACACAGAGTTCTAGCGGCAGACACATAACTAGAACAACTGTTAAGAGGAGAATCAGGCCTTCATGGTAAAATAGCTGCTAGGAAACCACTGCTAAGGACAGGCAACAAGCAGAAGAGACTCGCTTGGGCTAAAGAACTCAACGAATGGACATTAGAACAGTGGAAATCTGTGCTTTGGTCTGATGAGTCCAAATTTGAGATCTTTGGTTCCAACCATCGTGTCTTTGTGCGATGCATAAAAGGTGAACGGATGAAATCTACATGCCTGGTTCCCACCATGAAGCATGGAGGAGGAGGTGTGATGATGTGGCGATGCTTTGCTGGTGACACTGTTGTGGATTTATTCAAAATTGAAGGCATGCTGAACCAGCCTGGCTACTACATCATCTTGCAGCGGCATGCTATTCCATCCGGTTTGTGTTTAGTTGGACCATCATTTTTTTTTCAACAGGACAACGACCCCAAACACACCTCCAGACTGTGAAAGGGCTATTTGACCAAGAAGCAGAGTGATAGGATGCGGCGATATATGCCAGATGACCTGGCCTCCACAATCACCAGAACTGAACCCAATCGAGATGGTTTGGTGTAAGCTGGACAACAGAGTGAAAGAAAAAAGGGCCAACAAGTGCAAAGAAACTCCTTCAAGACTGTTGGAAGATCATTTCAGGTGACTATCTCCTGAAGCTCATCAAGAGAATGCCAAGAGTGTGTGAAGCAGTAATCAAAGCAAAAGGTGGCAAATTTTATGTACCTATAACACATATTTTCAGTTGTTTCAGTTTTTGTTAAGTATATAATTCCACATGTGTTAATTCATAGTTTTGATGCCTTCGGTGTGAATCTTCAAATTTCATAGCCGTGAAAATAAAGAAAACTCTTTGAACTAGAAAAAGCTGTTTCGCAGAAACAGCAAAGTGGGAATGCTTTTTTTGCTGAACGAAATAATAAAAATTAGCGAAAGAAACTGCGAGAAGGAAAAGAAGCACAAATTAGCTGAGGAACATATGAAAATGTGAAAGGAAGTAATCAGAAACTTCAAACTGCGGAAAACAATTGAATCATCTGAAGATTTTGTAGGGTAGAATCATCTGGCAGTAAAATGGCAGAAACAGACTCATCTTAAAAGCTTCACAGCCAAACCATACATGATATCAAAAAATCTCTAGAAGGGTCTAAATGTAATGTCTCCCAAGTTTCTAGAAAAAGTTCTAAAGAAATCTTGAAGGGGGGCCACCTACTTTCCAGAAACATGTCAGGCATGTTATGACTTAGCAGCAAACAGAAAGCTTAATTCCTGTCCAGAAAGAGAGCAGAATGAAGCCAAAGTTCACAACATAGGCTGAAAAGTATTAAATTAGCTGAATTAGAAAATAAATTAAAATAGAAAAACTTGAATCTTATCTGGTTGAAGAAAAAAGTAGTAGCTTAAGGATGGGAAGTAAAATGTTGAGGAAGATGGTATTGAATAAGTATCAACATTTTGAAATAATTTGTGGAAATGTCAAGACTTGGCAAAACAATTTGAAATTATTTAAAATGTGTTGGTTGATCAGCATAAAGAAAACAGTGTCATCCTTAGAGGATTGAAAATCTACAAACCTATATGCAAGACTGACCATGACAAGCAGAGGAAGGACAGAGAGAGAAGCTTATAGAAAGAGAGCTAATACCACTTAAGGAGCTGAATTTATAAAAAAAAAACTAACCTGCATGTTACGAGCCACTGTGGTGATGAAAGCACCGTTGGCAGGCTTAGGCTGCATATTAAGCGGTTAGCAGATGCTTTTTTAGAGTGTAAATCTTAGAGCCTTATTAAAAAATATGCACTGAGGTGTGTGGTCAACAGGCCTTGGTAGTGTAATTTGAAGAAATTGGTTGACTTTGGGTCATAGCTATGAGCCATACGGCACAATGAATGAGTGTGCGTAAGGAAGAGGCTTTTATTTTGTAGGGTCCCTTTTGTCTTATTTCAAAAGTCTATCATGAATGTGTGTCAAGGGAGGGGTCATGCCCAGCAGTGATATGAAATCCATTTCTAAATGTGAAATCAATGGTTTTCCATGGTATTGGGTTAATAGATGCTGTATTAGAGCGTAAATGGGAGACTTTTAATGTGAAATTTGCTCTGGGGTATGTTGTGAAAAGGTCCCTAGAGTCTAATAGAATCAAGCTGGTAGAGTTTGGGTCATAATGCTGAGCCATTTGCATCAATTAATGCACGAGTATAACATAGAGGCTTTTATTTTGTAGGGTCACTGGAGTCTTATTTTGAAAGTCTAGCAGGGTTGTGTGTTGAGAAAAGGGATGGACCCAACAATGATACTTGATGTCTTTCCAATCGTTAAATCACTCTTTTCCCTTGTTATTAGGGCAGCGAATGAAGTGGCAATGGGAGGCTTTTATTTTGAAATTTGCTGTGGGGTGTGTTTTGAAAAGTCCCCTAGAGTCTAATTTTAAAAAAGTGGTTGAGTTTGGGTTATAATGTTGAGCCATATGCTGGGAAAAAAATATGAGTTTAATGTAGGGGCTTTTATTTTGTTGGGTCCCCGAAGTCTTATTTTGAAAGTCTATCAGGGTTGCCTGTCAAGGGAAGGGTCATAGCCAGTAGTCATATATTATCCATTTCCAAATGTTAA